GCTGTGGTGGGACTGTCTTGCAGAAAAAAAATCACTGAAACCACCCGAACCACGAGACCTCTTTGCTCCCTCTCACCACGATCCTGACACAAAGCTGCTCTAGACGCTTAGCAATATCAACCACCTCATTGAACCTTGCACCTAAGGCAACCTCCCGAGTTATGATGAAGCGCAGTCCATAGTTGAGGCCACCAATGTACATCATAATCCTCTCCCTCTCTGTGGGAACCAACCAGATCGCGTGACGAGCCAACTATGAAAATCACATCTCATACTGGGTCACTAACATACCCTTCTGGCATAGCTGCTCAAACTGCCTATGCAACTCCTCCCTGTGGGTCTGTGGAACAAACTTGTCTAAAAAGAGAACTGAGAACTCATGACATGTAAGTGGTACAGCACTGGCTGGCCTGCTCAACTCATAGGCCTCCCACCATTTGAAGGCTACCCCCAACAGCTAAAAAGTAGTAAATAAGACTCCACTAGTCTCGAGAATACCTATTGTGCAAAGAATCCGCTGGCACCTATCTATGAAATCCTGAGCATCCTGTGACTCAGCCTCACTGAATGATGGGGGCCTGAGCCTCCCAAACTGCTCTAGCCTCTTCTGTTCCTCATCACTCATAGGTGGACCCACATAGGTCTGAGCTACTACAACCGGTTGGGTTGGTATTACCCCTGGTATCTGAAGTCCCTGAACCACTTGCTTTGGAGTACGGGCGACGGGAGTCTGAGCACCTACCCCGGCCTGAGAAGTGGTTGGTGCGGAATGAACTAAAACCGCCTGAGCAAGGCTAGTACATACAGTCAACATCTGGACCAAATCCTCCTGAAGGCCTAGAATCACAATGGGCGCAACTAGTGCCTGAGCTGGTTCCACCAGCTCAACCACATCTGGTATCTGCTCTAGAGCTGGAGAAGCTAGTGGCTCCACAGGTGCTGCTCTAACTACTGTACGACCTACACCTCGGCCTCTACCGCGGCCCTGGCCTCTCGCGGCCCTAGCTAGTGGTACTGGTGGTCGTCCGCCCGATCCAGTCGCATGTGTCCTCACCATACGGAATTAACAAATCCGCACGACAAGAATACAAGAAAGTGAAGTTTCATAATGATTCGGTAGCCTCTCGAAGATAAGTACAGACGTCTCTGCAGTGATCCGCAAGACTCTAATAAACCTTCTCATGACTCGTGAGACCTATGTAACGTAGGCTCTAATACCAACTTGTCATGACCCAAATCTCAACATGTCGTGATAGCGCCTATCACAGTACTAGGCAAGCCGACAATAACAAAAATACTATGCATTTAAAAATGAAAGCATAATGTAATAAGTTTAACAATGAAAAATCACATAAATAACCGGTAAGACAACTACGACGTAACAACAAAATCCCTTAAAATCCGGGTGTCACTGAGTGCATGAGCTACTAAGTGTCAACATAGTCTAAATCTCTAATACAACTGTCTGAAAGATAGAACAGTACAGAATAAAACTGAAAAGAAGGAGAGTCTAGGCCTGCGGGCATCAAAGAAACTACCTCAAATGTATCCTAGCAGATGCTGCTCCGAGTCTAGCAACCACCGGGTCAAGATATACCTGGATCTGCACACGAAGTGTAGAGTGTAGTATGAGTACAACCTACCCAATGTACTCAATAGGTAACATGACTAACCTTGGGTTGAGAGCAGTGACGAGCTCAAAAAGGTACAGTCCAAATCCAAATGATAACAGTACAGATATAACAGGGAAATGGCAGTAATAACTCAAAGAAATTCCATAATCAATTTGTACACAGTGCAGAAATGTAGACATGCTATTATGTTTAACAGTTTAAGCCTAACACTGATAAAATATGCCAAGTATAACTGATATGAGTAATGGTACATCTCTATGTCTACATATCAAATGTGCATGTCACATATGATGCATCATAGTGATAAACGCATGTACTCACCCTCTCAGAGTACTCAATCACACTGTCTCACACTCCCTACTCATCACTGTCAATCACTCAGCATTGTACGATACCTGCGCCCACTACTGGTATGTCAGACTCTGGAGGGGCGAATCCTGCCCAAGTACTAATATCAGCCAACATAGCCTACGGCGGCGTGCAGCCCGATCCCATAATGAATCAATAAAACCTACTATGGCGTGCAGCTTGATCCCATCACGAATCAGTAAAACCTATTGCGGCGTGCAACCTGATCCCATAAATATCACTCACAATCCGGCCCTCAGGCCCAAACTTTGTCATCAATCTCTCGAGTCTCTCGGGCTCACAGATCTCATGCCAATCAGCATAAACAATGATAACATGACGAAACAATAAATGACACAGAGAATGAGATATGATATGCAAATGATGAATGTGACTGAGTATATTATTGTTGTTTAAGCTAATAATTCAACAACAGAAATGATGTCAGCGTGTCCCAACGGAATAAGTATCTAGCCTAAACATGATTTCTAACATGGATCGCAACTTAATTACTCTAACACGTAGGGATAACATGAATAGAAATAAGGTTTGATAACTACACGGTACCACGAAATCAACCGAGTCACAATTTCCATGGTGCACGCCCACACACTCATTGATGGTAGGCTAGAAACCCGTATTTTAGACATAGTATTGCACTCTAATTACAGCATTTTCCGTGTGTTTGAGCTTAAATGATAGTGAATTACACTTAGTACGTGTTTTATGCCTTGCAGGAAGTGATTCCGAGCTAAAAGTTAATTTGGAGTTGAATGGATCAAATTGGAGCTTTGAAGTCTGAGTAAAAGTCTAATAAGTTAAGCAGGGATCGTGTTCGGAGGTCGTGTACCAAGTCTGGATGTCAAAAGAGGATGAAACAATTTTACTCTAATAAAATAACACAACCGCGCCACATGGGTCACTGCAGGGCACGACACGACAGTGAAAATTGTGCATGTGACATGAAAAATGCATGCCCGCTGATAAACTCCACAAGCGCGTCGTTGGGTGCGGCGCGGTACGCGACGTGGGTGTACAAAAATCGTAGAGTAGTTTCCTACTTCGGCTTGAAAATGGTAAATTTTTTCGGGTTTGTTTTTGATGGTATAAATACACCAAAAAACACGATATTTGAGAGGACGTAACTTGGAGAGGAAAATAAAGTACGAAACACTCAGGATCACGTATTTGATCAATTCTTCCATTCGTCTTCTAGTATTCATTGATTTTATGTTTGAAAATATTATTTTTGATGATTGTATGAACATGAGTGGCTAAGAACCCTAATATTCTGGGGTCATGGGTGTTACATGAATGTGATGTTTGAAGTTTAATTTGATGAGTTTGAGTTTATCATATTGGGTTATTTATTCAATTCTGTTTTTAATTATTTTGCTGAGTAGCTAACAATGAAATACTATCTACGAATCTAGAGTTGAAATCAAAAGTGGGAATTCTAGATTGCATATAGAATTAAATAGAGCAGGTTCTTCGACCTGGGCATCGGGGAACGGATTCGCAATTAGGATAGAAATATACCTAATTGCCTTGCTTGGTTGAAATACAGGAAGTATAAATGCATTCTTGTTAGTCTTAATTCCATAGACATATAGGCATTAAGTTAGCTTGAATAGGCAAGTAAGAACTCGCCAGATTGAGTAATATCAACCATGTCAATCAACAATCCAGATAAATCAATTAGTCATTTTAACCCAAGAATGCAACAAGATTGTTAGCTAGCCTATGACCCTAGAATACTCTCTCCTACTAATTTTTATTCGAAATTGCTTAAGTGTTGTGGTCGATTTCTAGTTATTTCATTGCTTGATAGTTTCTTAGGTAGAAAATTAGTCACTTACACATTTTGTGAGAAATCTCTTGAATCAATAAGTTATTTGTGTTTGAATCGGTCATAAGTAAATCATAAGTCTCCGTGGGAATGATACTATACTCATTACTCTATTACTTGACGACCACGTGTACTTGCGTGAGTGTGTTTGGTCGCAACAAGTTTTTGGTTCCGTTGCCGGGGACTTAGAAATTAGCTACTTGACTGAGTTAAGCTTGTATTAGTTATTTGTTCAAGTTTTAATTTTTAGTTTGCCTTGTTTGTGTTAACACATGCTATTCTCTTGAATGCGGAGGAGTAGAAGCACAAACAATCTCCTTCCTCTTGATCTTGAATTTGAACGAACACTTCACAGAGTGAGGAGGGAAGTCGAAGCTAGAACTAGAATAGAAAGAGAGTTGGACATCATAGTTCAACCACAGCCAATAGAGATGGCAGGGAATGAAGAGCGTCCGGTGATTGAAGCCGCAAGGCTCAATCTTGCTAATATGACTCAGGCTATTGTAAAGCCTGATATCACGGGTCACTTTGAACTCAAATAGTACATGGTACAGCTAATTCAGTCCACATGACAACATGTGGGTCTATCTCATGAAGACCTGCATAGGCACATTCAGAACTTCCTAGAAATTACGGACACTTACAATTATCTGAACGTTTCCAAGGACTATGTCAAGCTCACACTGTTTCCCTTTTCACTGCTACAGGAAGCTAAGGAATGGTTGAAAAAGGAGCCCACGAACTCAATCCATACTTGGGATGATCTAGCAAGGAAATTCTTAACCAACTTTTTCCCCACTAAGAAGACAAAGTCGCTGAGGAACCAGATTATTGGGTTCCAACAACGGGATGGCGAGACTATTCGTCAAGCTTGGGAAAGATACAAGAAGCTACTCAGATACTACCTGCATCATTGTCAAACGGATGAGGTGTTGGGTCATACATTCGTTGATGGGCTAGACGAGACATCGAAGATGAATCTTGACTCGGAATTGGCAAGGAGATGGGGTAGAATTCAGCCAACTCAGAATCATTATAGGCCCCAAGGAAATTTTAATCAACCTCAAAAGCCACCCCAGCAAATAGAAAAGAGTACGAATGACTTGTTGAAGAAGTTTTTGCTTGAAAATCAACAACTCAGGACCGATTTCAGAAATCTTGAGAGATAAATGGGGCAGTTGGCGTCAAATCAAATTACTAGACCTGCAGGCGCTCTTCCCAGTGATACAGAGAATAACCCTCAAGTTAATGCAGTTACACTCAGAAACGAAAGGGAATTAGAGGAAGTGCCAAAGAAGGGAAAGGACAAGCCTATACCTGAAGGGGAATTGATTCCTAAAGCAACACATGAGTTAAAGAAAGATGATGCAAGTTCAGAGCCAGTGAATGTTGCAAGGCCACCACCACCTTTCCACCAAAAATTGCAGAAGAAGAATGATGATCGCATGTTCAACAAATTTCTCTCTATGTTGATCCAGGTTCAATTGAATATTCCATTGGTAGATGTACTTCGCGAAATTCAAAAGTATGCTAAGTACATAAAAGATATAGTGGCTCAAGAGAGGAGATTGACTAAATTCGAGACAGTCGCACTTACTGAAGAGTGCACTTCACAGGTCCAACACAATCTTCCTCAAAAGCTTAAGGATCCTAGCCACTTCTCCATCCCTGTGCGAATTGGTAATATCGATGTGGGGCGTGTTCTTTGTGATTTGGGGGCAATCATAAATCCGATGCCCTTGTCCTTGTTCAAGAAATTGGGTCTGGGAGTTCCAAGACCAACCACTGTGATGTTGTAACTAGCTGATAGGTCCATAACCTCCCCTGAAGGAGTGATTGAAGATGTGTTGCTGCAAATTAGGAAATTTACCTTCCTAACGGACTTCATTATCCTAGATTATGAGGCTGATGAACAAGTTTCAATCATATTTGGATGGCCTCTCTTGGCTATAGGTGATGCAATTATTAAAGTAAGAGAGGGAAAAATGATTATGCGGGTGGACAATGAGGAAGCATTTTTTAATGTCTACAAGGAAATCCAACTTCCCTGCCATTATGAGGAGCTCTCTATAATATTTGTTATGGAGGTGGATGAGCAGCTTAATGACACGAGTGTATATCTCGACAATTCTCTAGAGAAAGCACTCATGTTGTTCGATAGCTTGGAGATTGATGATGAGGTTGAGGAGATGATGCATATCCTAGGTGCAGCATGTGCTTACATGCAGGGATTAAACCACTTTGAGCCCCCGAATAGGCCAAGTAGGCCTCCTCCAAAGCCGTCGATTGAAGAAGCTCCAAAATTGGAACTTAAATCCTTGCCCCCTCACATTCAATATGCTTATTTGGGTGGTTCTGACACTTTACCTATTATTGTTTCCTCTGACTTGTCTAAATTGCAGGAAGAAAAGCTATTGAGAAGTGCTACGTGAGCACAAGTGAGTCATTGGGTGGATGATGTCTAACATTAGAGGCATTAGTCCAGCTTTCTGCATGCATAAAATCCTCATGGAGGATTGACACAAGCCAAGTGTAGAGCAACAACGCCGCCTAAACCCAATCATGAAAGAGGTGGTAAGAAAAGAAGTGATTAAGTGGCTTGATGCAGGTATTGTATTTCCAATCTCTTATAGCAAATGGGTAAGCCCCGTCCAATATGTGCCTAAGAAGGGGGGATGACTGTAGTTGTTAATGAAAATAATGACTTGATTCCCACAAGAACCGTGACTAGGTGGAGAATTTGCATAGATTATAGAAAATTAAACAATGCCACCTGCAAGGACCACTTTCCCTTCCTCTTTATTGACCAAATGCTTGATAGATTAGCAGGACAGGAATACTATTGTTTCCTAGATGGATATTTGGGGTATAATCAGATTGCTATAGCCCTAGAGGACCAAGAGAAGACCACATTTACATGTCCCTATGGCACTTATGCGTTCAAGAGAATGCCATTTGGTCTCTGTAATGCACCTGTGACTTTTCAAAGGTGTATGATGGTTATTTTTACTGACATGGTTGATAGATTTGTAGAAGTGTTCATGGATTACTTTTCTGTGTTTGGGTGTTCTTTTGATAATTGTTTAATAAACCTTGATAAAGTGCTTGCTAGGTGTGAAGAGACAAACCTGGTGCTAAACTGGGAAAAGTGCCATTTCATGGTACGTGAAGGTATAGTCTTGGGGCACAAGGTGTCCAAAAATGGATTGCAGGTAGACAAAGTAAGGGTTGAGGCGATTGAAAAATTGCCCCCACCGACATCCGTCAAGGGCATTCGCAGTTTCTTGGGCCATACAGATTTTTATCGTCGTTTCATTAAAGATTTTTCAAAAATTTCTTCTCCTCTATGCAGGTTTCTTGAGAAAGATATCTCGTTCAAGTTTGATGATGCCTGTCTGAAAGCATTTGAGGAGCTGAAGGGAAGATTGGTGACTGCACCAATTATTATTACTCCGGATTTGGCGCAGCCATTTGAGTTGATGTGCGATGCGAGTGACATAACAATCAGAGCTATTTTGGGGCAAAGGAGGGAAAAAAAATTTCACTCCATTTATTACGTGAGCAAAACTCTGAATCCAGCCCAGATGAACTACAATATTAATGAAAAAGAGTTACTTGCAGTGGTGTGGGCATTTGACAAGTTCAGATCTTATCTAGTGGGAACCAAAGTCATCGTCTACACTGATCACTCAGCTATAAGGTATTTGTTTGAAAAGAGAGACGCCAAGCTGAGGCTAATTTGATGGATTCTCCTCTTGCAAGAATTCGACTTGGAGATCCGAGATCTAAAAGAAATAGAGAATCAAGTGGCCGATCACTTGTCCAGATTAGAAAATCGGAGCCATGTAGCTGAAGGGGGGTCGATCAAAGTAACATTTCCTGATGAGCAATTATTAGAAATTGCCTCAGGTGAAGCCTCGTGGTATGCAGATTATGTGAATTTTATTGCAAGTGGGGTGACGCAACCAGAATTTACGATAATAGAAGAAGGTTTCTACATGATGTGAGGCTCTACATGTGGGATGAGCCATTCCAATATAATCAGTGCACAAATCAGTTGGTACGAAGGTGTGTCCCTGAGGTGGAGATGAATGCAATATTGCATGACTGTCATGCTTATCCATATGGAGGTCACCATGGTGGGGACAGAACTACCCAAAATGTACTACAATCGGGTTTCTATTGGCAAAAATTGTTTAAGGATGTACACGCCTTTGTTAAAAAGTGTGACATGTGCCAAAGAACCGGAACAATCACGAAGAAGCACGAGATGCCCTTGCAAAATATTCTGGCAGTAGAGCTCTTTGATGTTTGGGGGATTGATTTCATGGGACCGTTCCCATACTCTAATGGTCACAGGTACATCTTGGTGGCGGTCGGCTATGTGCCTAAGTGGGTGGAGGCCATTGCTCTTCCTACTAATGATGCAAAGGTAGTTGTAAACTTTGTAAAAAAGCACATCTTCATTCGCTTTGGGACTCCAAGGGTGTTGATAAGTGACAGAGGAACTCACTTCTGTAATAAATTATTGAATAATGTTCTAGAAAAGTATAGAGTTAAGCACAAGGTTGCCACCGCCTATCACCCCCAAATGAGTGGTCAAGTGAAAGTGTCAAACTGAGAGGTGAAGCAGATTCTGGAGCAAACAGTAAGTGAAAATAGGAAGGACTGGGCCGGAAAGCTGGACGACGCATTATGGGCATATCGAACGTCATACAAGACCCCCCATAGGTAATTCTTCATATAGATTATTTTATGGGAAGGCGTGCCACTTGCCCGTTGAGCTTGAACACAAAGCCTATTGGGCGATTAAAAAGATAAATATGGATATGGACTTAGCCGATGAGAAGAGGTTGCTACAACTCGACGAGCTTGATGAGTTTCGATTGCACGCGTATGAAAATGCCAAATTGTATAAAGAAAAAACCAAGAGGTGGCATGACAAACACATCCATCCTTGCGAGTTTGAGCCAGGTCAAGCAGTTCTCTTTTTTAATTCGAGGTTGAAGCTTTTCCCCATAAAGCTTAAGTCTCGATGGGCAAGTCCTTTCATGGTAGTAAGTGTGAGGCCTTATGAAGCGGTGAAATTGCATGATACGAGCTCAAGTGGTACCTTCTTGGTAAATGGGCAGAGAGTAAAACATTATTGGGGTGGTAACATTGCACGTCACAAGACCTCGGTGGACTTGTCATATGCTTGAAAACGTATTGAGTCGTGCCGCGACGTTAAATCAAGAGCTTGTTGGTTGAAAACCCAATTGTTAATGCTTATAAACCTTTTTTCTTGTTTTAAGAATATTTTAGGTAATTGTAGTTTATGATTATTAGAGCTTAGGAGTCGTGGGACTTGTTTAGGCAGGTATAAGCATGAATTGGACACAAAATAACTACATAATAGAGTCGGGGTGCAACCCATGACCTAAATATCAAAAACGAGGCGGACTCTATGAAAACTAGCCTAGCGCGCCGCGTAGGGAGCCGCGCCATGCACTGTGCCAGGCCAAATGGCTCTCTGAAATACTAAAATCGAGCCTCTGATAATGGTCGCTACCGTGCCGCATGGGGCGCCGCACTCAGCGACGCGGTAGTGTAATTTAAATTTTAAAAAAAAGTATATTGTTTTTTATGTTTTTTAATTGGGACACACAACAGACCCATTCACCCCCCCCCCCCCCCCCACATTATCTCTCACAAATCTCTCCTCTCTAACTATCCTCAATTCCCCCATTGTTCCTCTTCTCAAATTCCTTACACACACACCTCCAATCCTGTCTATTCATCCTCAAGGCAAGTCTTCTTCTCATCTCATCTCTTTTATTTTAGTAGTTGATTGTAGTATTTAAGTAGTTTTAGTTATTTTTAGTTGTGCAATTTATTATTTAGTTTCTTTGCCTATTATGGACAAAAATGGGGCTTAACTTGTGAGGTGTTCATTATTCTTATGATTGTGGAAGAATTTTGGTTTGTTTTGATGGCGTGGAATTAATTTATGTTGAAGCTTGGTGGAGGTGCCCATGTAGCTAAAATTTAGTGAAGTTTGGTGTAAAATTTGTGCACTTTATGCTATTATGAAGATGTGGTGATGTTGTGGTTGTGGTTTCAGGTGTATTTGCTTTGGTTGTATGGTGATTCTAACCCACTTTGAATTAAAATAAGAAGGTGCAAGGTATGCCCACAATATATTTGTTGAAATGTCTAAGTGACATAAAATTGTGTCGTGTTGCAAATTGAGAAGGGAAGTGCCTTGTGAGATGTGATGCTTGATGATAAGTGTTGGGTGGCATGCCATGTTTTTAAACTGTAAAACTTTAACTCGTTAGCCTCGAGTTCTAATTGATTGACAACCCCATGCTCATGTGTTGCTAGGTTCCAAATGAGGTGTCCGATTCATGCTATTGTGCTTGTGTAGTATTGTATTGTATCCTAATGTTATTAGTAGTGCATTAGACTAAATTCTTATTTTTTTTTCTTTCTTTTTGTGATTACTAGTTTAGCTTCTTAATTTTGTCTTTTACACTAGTGTAGTCTGTGGTTCTATTTTTGGAATGTTGTGTTGGTGGTTGGGTGGGCTGTTGATTGCTTGTGGCGTGCTTCCAATGGGGTAGTCTGAGTCCCCGATATACATTTTACTTGTGAACATGCCAATAACATAAGTGTGGGGGGATTACCCTATTTGGTCTTGTTTTATTTTACGTGTTGTGGCTAATATTGTTCGTCTTGTGCAGGCACAATGTCTTGCCGCCCTAGCAAACGCTCTAACACAGGTTCTTCCGAGGTTGCCTCTAGTAGCCGTCGAGGA